AATTGTCAGTGTCGGCTACTGGAAAGAGTATGAAATTTGGAGTTAGGCAAAACCCGATATAGTTTTGGGTCCTGTCTGTTCCTTCCTAGCTGTGTGGGTTTATGTGTGTTCCAGTCATTCCAGCCTTCTGTCTGTCTACTAGGAGACTACGTCTCAAAGTTTCTTGGCACATAGTGAGCGCACAGCAAATGCTATTTAAAAACATTAATGCATGACAAGTTTCTTCCGTATAGCACAAGGAACTATATTCGATATCTTGTAGTGACCTATAGTGAGAAAGTGTGAAGACGAATATATGTATGTATATGCATGACTGAACTATTATGCTGTACACCGGAAACTGACACATTGTAAACTGACTATACTACAGTAAAAACATATGAAAAAAATCGTTAATGCATGAACTCTGAATTTTAAACTAAGAAAATCCCTTTATTCCCGAGTAAGGTTTCTTACACGGGTTTTTCATTGCCCTTTGCATCTTCTAAATACCTTTACTATTAAGACAGGCTATTTACCCTGAATATATGAAGAGCTAAATTTTCATCACACATTTAGTAAATAAGTGGATTTCTTAAGTCTCCAGATTTTTTTTTTAATGTGAAGTTTGAAAGGCAACTTGTGGGTTTGAATCACAGTACCCTTGTTCAGCAGTTGAAACAGATGTGCCAGCAGTACGTGGGAATCTTATTTCTACCAACTTGTTGGCTGCAAAGCTTGCCAGGCCAGGGAGCATCCTGCCCTTCTTTCACGAATGGCACTTTCCGGCCTGCGTAGGCAGTGGCTCATCTGTATGTCTGGGCTCTTCTCTGCTGTGCAGAAGGTAGGCTCTCGGTCATGTGGTGGGCTTGGCAGGTTTCAGTGCCTGCAGTGTCCACACACTAAGCCAGGTGCTGGAGGTGGACTTCACGTTCCCCAGGAGAAGGGACCAGATGGGGAGGCAAGGGGAAGGTTTGGTGGCAGTGCTTGACTTGAATTAGATCAGGGGTCAAAGGAGAGGCTATGAAGCAGGGAGAGGGAGACCGTGCCAGAGGTTTGGGGCTTGTCTGGAGCGTCTGTTGTGTAACCATCTACACCAAACTTAGTGGTTTAGCCACCATCTTACTTATGGCATGATTCTGTGGGCCAGGAATCTGGGCAGTGCTCAGCCAGGTAGTTCTTCTGTCCCACGTGGGATCGACTGAGGTCACTTGGTGGTGGTCAGCTGATGGGCTGGTCTGGAGAGTCCACGACAGCCATAGTAGAGGGTAGGAAGGCTGGGCTCAGCTGGGACTGTTGACTGGAGTGCCACTGGTGGCCTCCCCAGCGTGGCGGTCCCAGGTTTCTTACGTGGCAGCTCAGGACTCACAAGAGACCTGGGCAGAAGCTGCGAGGCTTTTTCAGACCTGGCTCTGGAGGTCTTAGCACGTCACTTCCTTCCCATCCTGTTGGCAAACAAGTTACGAAGGCCAGCCCAGGTGTAGGGAGAGGTTAGACTCACTCTCCCAGGGGAAGTGATGGGAATCTGTGCCGTTGTTAATGCACCACACTCACTGTGCTCCTCGATGGGAGAGCCACTGAGAGACGTGTGGGGGAGGGCGCAGAGGTTGGGTGAGGTGGTGGTAAATGACATGACCAAATGGACTTTTAAAATTGGAGGCCAAGTCAGATGATAGTGGGCTGGAGAGTCAGCAGGTGTTGGAGGTGGGACGGCGGGTGTGGAGCCTTCTCTCAAGGTTCTTGGCCGTGAGGAGATGGGAGTGGGAGAAGGGGCTCGGAGGAGGCTTAGCGTTGGAGGGTTTGCTTGTTTTTATTTGCTTGTCTGCTTTGAAGATGGATGAAGTCACTAGTGACCCGTTCTTTTCCAAATCATGGCTGAGCATTTCTAGTGACTGGCCTCTTAACTGATTAAACACTGCTGAAATTCTCTCCTCTCCGGTCTTTGGTGATACGACCTTGTCCTGGTCCTTCCGCCTGTGACTAAGAGGGTTTATTTCTTTTAACTGTTGTCTTTCCCAGGATCTGCCCTTGCCTTCTTTGCTTCTTTATTCTGTACATTTTCTTGAGGAATCTCATTTACTCATGATTTTAACTTCCACACTCGTATGGTGAAGGCACCCAAGTTTATAACTTCTCTTGCCTTGTGCACGTCTTCCCCAGATGTCCCTAAAATTCCTATTTCTAATAGTGCCATCACCTTGGCCTTGGCCAGAAGGCTGTATGACATTGCCTTTCTCTGTCCCTAACTTCATGCAGCCAAACAGGGCACCAAGTACTGTTGGTTTTTGCCTTTGAAATCAAGGTTCTCAACTGGGGCTGCAAGTAAACATCGCCCGTGGAACTTTTCAGAACTCTTTCCCAGAACTACAGAATCAGCGTCTCTTGAGATTTCAGCATGCATATTCTTATAAAGCTCTCCTTTCACAGTCCTGAACCGGCTCCTCCTTGCCTTTGTACATGTGATTGCCTTGCATTCCCCATTTAGTCGTCTTGTTCTGATTTCAGGACACTTCACTCACTGTCTTCTCCGCGAAGGCTTCGCCCGTGCCTCTTCCCGTGTGCCCTGTGCGACGAGTGATCTTGTCGCCTGAGTGTTTTATCACACTTGTTTTTGTGCCTTTCTCTGCTTCTAAGTGGAGAGCTCTGAGCACAGGGGTGCTGATACTCATCATTGCAGCTCTGGAACGTGGCATTGTACGTATTGAATGAATAAGCATGAAGCTTAGCCTAATGAGAAACTTGTCTCATCGTGATGCTTTTTTCCCCACTCTTACCTTGATTATTTCTGATAGGAGAGACTGAGATTGGCATATTACTTGCTTAACCTGCAGTATCTGCGCATCTCTGCTCAGGCAATATAAATGAAAATGTTTTGGCATACATTAAGGTTGACATTTCTGATTTTTGTGTTTCCACCTTTCTATTCGATATGGCTTTGGGGTTGCAAGTAGCAGAAACCAACCTGAGTTCACCGAAACTAAAAAGAATTTCATGAACAAGGGTCAGAGCACATCTGGGCCGGTAGAAGCCCTCGGGGGCCTCTTCTCATGTCTCTTTGTTACTTGTCTCTGTTCATCTGCTTCATTCCTCCCTCCTCTGCTGCTTCGTCGTGTAACAGATTGTGACACCCCCTCAGCTCCTGCCTTACAGTTGGCAGCTCTCGCCAGCCGTCCACAGACACTAGTTGTCTCTCAGTCCTGGCTTTGTGTTTTCTGGGATGAGAATGTCATTGGCCAGCTTGGGCCGGATGTCCACATCTAGCCTTTCAGCCCTGAGGTGGCGGGGAGGGTGCTGGCCTGGCCCTTTTCATCCAGACGTGGCACAGGGACTCACCTTAGGGAGTTCAGGGCTGGATTCCCGAGAGAGGATGTCATTGTGAGCAGATCTCTTACAAAGCATCTGCCTACCACACTCTGCCTGGGTGTGATCCCGCTGACCAGCGGTGTATGGCGTCTAGATGAGGGCAGGACGCTGCAGAGCTGGGAAACCTTTCCAGGACGTGTACCTGTTGCCTCCAGGCCACAGTGGTGAAAATGTTCCTCTTACTTGTTTAGAGTCCTGGCTTTAGTTGATTCACATATGTTTCTCTTAATACAGGATGTTCATCTTGGTTTAAGTGATGTGGAAATAAATTAAGACAAAGGGGGTTTGTAATGGCTGTTTACTCAGGGATATGTTCATTGAAAGAGTGATCACAAAGATGTGTAAGAAAATAACGTACATTATTCTGATCTTGCCTCAGAAAAAGAAGAGGAATAAGACTTGAAATCAATTATTTCTGTATTCTGGAGACATTTTTATGTAGCTGACATTCCTTTGTGATGGAAATGAAGACATTAAAAACACAGCAGAAATAACTTCTGGTGATAATTTAAATTCATTGTCATCCTGTAGATACTGAATTGTAAAACAAACACCCAACGCCCCTGGTTCCAGCTTTTGCTGTTCTTGGTGGGTCCCCCTTGCAGTGCGGGCCACCGCCCTCTTCTGGGTATGATGGGACAGGTGGCAAAGGCAAGACTTTGAGGAGAGGGTTGAGCCACCTGATGTTCTGGCCCTGACTTTGGTGGTCAGAGGGAGCCTGGGGGCTGTCACGTTTATCCATGTCAATTTGAAACAGTTCCCTTCCCTCTTTCGGTTTTTTTCTTAAAAAGTTGGAAAATAGTCATGGCAGTGTGACAGTGTGAGACAGCGCTCAGAACACACAGGGACCGTCGATCCAGAGTTAGAAAATACAGGTGAAAATGGGAACACTCCTGCCATCCAGCACTTGTTTTAAACACTAGTCTTAGTTTACAGTATTAATTCAGGAAATCTGCTTAAGGACAGTAATGTTTTCCAGGTGACTCTAAGTAATTTGATAGTTTGTGAACAAAAGATCTTTTTTTTTTTTTTTTTTTTTTACTTTTTATGGGCAACCTTCTTGTGGAGTCATATTTTATGTTTAATTTTTGCAGGCCAGTATAGAATTCAGATCTGATAGTATAGGATTCAAACAGAAATGGGACTGAGTGTAGAGAATTGAGAACTTCTAAAAATGCAAGTAACTAAATTTGGTCTTCTTACAAATAAAGATCCTGTAGAAAATAACATGTTTTGAGAGTGAGGGATGAGGTTTAATTAGTGTGCTATTTTCTAACTAGTTCATTTAAAAATATTTCTTGAGTGTTTCTCCAGGGTCCATTAGGAGGCCCCTTGCTGAATTGAGCCAGCACTAATACGGCCTCTGCAGAATTCTCATTTGCTTATTTATACTCTGCCTCTTTCCAAAAAGATTTGAAGAGTCTGACTTTATAGAATAGGAAACCTATGATTACTTTGTACATCACTCTTAAATTAAGTTTCTGGAAGTGATTTGAATTTCGTTACAGCCGAAGTTTACTTTGCAGCCCATTCCTTTTGTGGGGTGTTTAGTGGGCAATTCTTTGAACAGTCCTGTCTTTTCCCTTATTCCATCGAACTTTTATTCTCAGTGCATTTAAAATCTACAAGTAAATGAGCTCTTTCATCTCTGTTTGTAGGTACAATGGTGCTCTACCTAATGGAGACAGAGGCCGGAGGAAAAGCAGATTTGCTCTCTACAAGCGGCCGAAGGCTAACGGAGTCAAGCCCAGCACGGTCCACGTGATATCCACGCCGCAGGCGGGCAAGGTGGGTGCCTCCTTGGGAACAGGGGGGCCCGTGGTGACTCATGGTGATTCCTTGTCGGCTGCTCCTTCCTTTCAGTCTCGTTTCTCTGTGGGACAGTTTCTCAACTCTTTGAGGCGGGACAGCCTTGGTTGGGAAGGGCTGCCCTGTGCAGTGTGTGTTTCACAGCGTCGCTGGCCTCTTAGCCACTAGCTGCCAGTGGTGCACCACCCCCGCCCCCCGCCCCCTACTGCCACCACCATTAGGACAACCAAACAAGTCTCCACATTGCCACAGGCCCCCTGGGGAGTGAGGGTGAGTGGGCCAACTGCCCTCCCCTGGAAATGGACCACTGCTTCAGAATGTAGTGGAGTCAGCACCTATCAATGTAGAATAGTTGTGGCTACGAGATAAATGATGTTCTTTATCCTGAAGAGTTTTTGTATTAAATCTTGGTATCAACCTCGTTAAGATTTGCTGTTTTCCTTCTGTTAATTGAGTAGTGGGTGTTTTCACATAATCTGCATGTGCAATGTGGAATTGAATTTGTGTAATTATTAGAAAGATTGGAAGTAAACAGAGGTAAGTTCTGTAAGAAGTCTGTTATATGTATGTTCTTTTTGTAAGTTTGAAGTATATAAAATGTGAATTTTTAATGATTATTTCATTTGTTTTCTGATACATAAGTGGAGGGGAAACCTGAATTTCAAGTCTGGTTGATACATGCGACCTATTAGATTTATGACAGTTTTTCTTTTAATTAAGTCAATTACTTAATGTGTAATATAGTTTCCTTTCCTATAAAATAATTATATTTATCTGAAGTATTTCATATGGGGCACTGGCTGGACACTGGTGGTATATGTTTAGTTTTCATAATGGGTTTGGACCATCTGGAATAAATAAGAGATTTGATTTCCAGTTTTTACTGAAAACCCATGGTTCAAAGAGAAATGACTAGCTTTGTGGAAGCACATGTGTCATTTATACTCAGTCCTGGAAACAGATCACTTTTGTTAACATTTTTATGTTGAAAGTTCCTATTGTATCTGAGGCAGTGCCATGGAAGAAGTTTGCTAGGATATGCCAGTGAAGGTTGTCTTGTATTAGTGTGGGAATGGTTAGATCAGAAAATATCAAACACCAGGCAGGCAGGCATTTTAAGCGGCCAAGCTTTTAGCTAGAAAAGGGAAAATAAAGGGAAAGTTTTCAGAAGGGAAGGACACTTGGTAGGGAAAAACAAGGGAAATCAGCCTTACAAAAATTCTGAGAGGAAGAAGAAGTGAAGTAACAACAGAATCTTAGAAGGTCAAGAAAGTATGAGAAACATTTATGGTGCAAAAATATTTAGAGAAGGGTACCAAGGCAGATGTTTTTAAGCACGTGAAGAGTGCCAAAAATACTCTGATATTACAGACATGGTCCTTGTCTGTGTTGGCATTTATCTTTCCCTTTCTGGCTCTGTACCCTTTTACATTTACTTTTTAAAAAAACTTCAGACTTTATACTAATACAGTGGCTTCAGGTATTTAAAAATTTTATAGACATCTTTGATTACTCAGGCTTGCTGTCATGATGGAACATGAAATGTATCTTCCAGCAGCTACTATTGGAAGATCAGTGGCTCTTCCAATACCCACTGCTCACCTCCATCTGCTCCAGTTTTAGCTTTTTATGCTTTACCTTTATACCTAGATTTTACCTGAAGTTACTTAGATTATAAATATTTTGGAAGCTGTCTGTCTAAATCTGTGTTTAAAAATATCACTGTTTAAAAAATATCCCTGACAGTACTAGTAGTAGGGAAAATTGGGTTTTGGTCTTACAGCCTGGGAAAAGTACATTGTCAGGGCCTTCGTTTCCTCATTTATGAAATGAATGAGTTTGCTGTGGGCAGGAGCCATGTTGAGTCAGGTGAGATGCTTTGGTTATAAGCAACAGAAATGCTTCTGGCTTGAAGAAAAAAAAGACAAACATGGAGAAATTGTTAAAGGTTAAGAATGGTTCTCAGAATTGGGGGAGGAAAGGCTGAGTAACAAGGTTGCGTGAGAGAGGAGAACCAGAGTATCAGCAGGAGGTGATGGAGATGCCCTTTCAAGGTGTTACAAGGTGACTTGGCTCCAACTACCTTCTATCACTTTTAAAGGTTTTAAATTTTCAGGAAAGAGAATCTGATAGGCCTACTCAGGGTCAGTCAGCCATGACCAAGGGAGATGAGTAGACCAGACGTCTTTATTGTGGGCTGATCAGCTCCACCATTGCTTTGCCATTATTCATCTTGGTACCTCTATGTGGTGGGCCTTGTACGTAGTATTTCATCCTCCCTGAACCCACCACCTTGGTCACCAGTCCCTCATCCTTCTGTTCCCTCTCAAACTCCATCCCTTGGCTTTGCCCTGCCAGCCCTGCTGCCACTGATCTGTGGCCCCCTAGCCCAAGTCTCTTATATATTTAACTTTTTCTTCAGTTGCTCCTCCTGCTACCTTACCGTAGCTGAATCCTGGTTTTTCATCGATACACTCTTTTTTCCATCTTTTCCAGTTCATGGAACTAGAAATGATTTCATTTTGTTTCTGTTTGGGTCTCTTTTTTTGTAATCCTGCATTATTCATTTACGCGGCCTCTTCCCCTACTTCTCCTGACCTCACTGACCTGCAGTTTAGTCTTGTGCGTATTTCAGTGACTCCGTACCTAGCTCAGTCTCTGTTACTCCCCAGGCCATGTTACACTAGCATCTGTGGAGCACAGTGCTATAACTCTCTGTATTTCACACTGTGAGTCACTTCTCTACTTTTCCCACTGCGTGGTAGACCTTACCACCCTTTGTCACTTGTAAGTGACCATAGTCTTCACTTCATTCTTCTTGGGCACACATACACTTTCGTCCCTGATTTCACCAAGGCATCCAGCCCTTTAGCTGCTCTTATTTGCCACGGTTGTCAGCCCCCGCAGCTTGTCCAGTTATAGATTAACTTCACCCCGGATTCCTTTTCTCACCCCTCCTCCTGCATCCCTGGCTCTGGGACCTTCCCAGGCCCTGCTGCATTATTTTTCTTGTCTCCTTTCTCGCTCACCACCATTTCCCATCAGAATGCCAGGGTATGTGGTGATACTTGGCAAAGGCTGTTTGACCTGAATCAGCAGTACTTTGTTCTAAAATTTCCGATCCTGCAGTATTAGTGACAAAAAGGTCATCTCTGATTGGAGTTATACAAGTGAGCCCTAGAAGGGCAGTAGAATTTGAGTGCTTGGCCTTTTGACTATGTTCTCTTCCCTCTTCCCCACAGTTGGGGGCAGACCGGGGAGTACCCCTTTGCTGATGGCAGTGGCTGCTGGAAAATGGGACCTCTTAGTCTTCCATGCATCCCGGTGTCTAAGCTAAGTCAGATGAGGGTGGCCAGTATGTGCTACTGCTGTGTGTTGCAGCTTGTACAGTCACTGTGTACTCTTCACTTGTGTACATATTTGCTCTTGAAATTGTAATACTCAGAGATAATTCTCCTGTTATATAATGTGTGTGGTTTTTTTTTTAATTTAAGTCCTCTTTTACTGTTGGCGGGTCTGTTATATAGACATAGGGCATTTAGCAGTTTATTCACCCATTGATACTCAGCAAATACTCATCTAGCACTTTTCTGTGGCAAGGCATCAGGCTAGGTACTGTGTGTACTACAGAGAATAAAACATGTCCATTTGGAGCTCTCGTGAGCAGGCAAGCAATGAGTAATCACACAGATACATATTTACTGCGCATTTTGAAAAACGTGGTAAAGAAAGAGACTGAGGTGGTGTGAAAAATGAAGGCACAGAATTAGATGAGATAGATGGGGAGGGGTCTCTCAGGAAGTGGCCTTGAGCTTTGAGCTGAAGGATAAAGGGGAGTTAGCCGGGAGAGCAGAGAGGTCTGGTGGTCCTGGTGGGAGAATTTGGCTTTTTTTCCAAGGGGAAACAGTGAAGGGTGTTAAGCAGGGGGAGTGGCATAATAATGACTGAGAATTCAAGTCAGTGTATGCTTGTTCATTTATTTTTTAATGATGTGGGGTAACAACTTTGCTCTTACTTAACCTGTAAATACCAGGAAGGTAGTGGTGGTGGTGGTGGTAATGGGGCCTGATAGGTACGTATTTTGCTGGCCACATGGTTTAAATTTAGCAGCATGACTGTAGAAAACTTTTCATCAAGGTTTTTCCTTCTTAGATTGTGCTTTATTGAAATCTCCTTGTTGAGGTATTTTTACTTTTAAAAAGCAATCGAATATCACTCTGTTCCAGTTGGCATTATTTCAGAATAAGTGGAAAATATCAGTGGTCTTGGAGTGACAGTTGGGAGAAAAATTAAGGCTATTTAATGTGATTGTTACAACCAGGACGGCTCTTCAGCTGTGAGCACTGGAATGGCTCTACTGGTTGATAAGGTATTAAAACTCTTCCTTATCGGTCAGCGAGCAATATAATAATAACTGTGAGAAGTGGTAAAACTAGCAATGTAAATTTCAGTGTGAACTCATTAGTTCAAGCTGATTTTCCAGGCGTTAGAAGGGGGTTTAGTGGTGAGTGCTTTTTGAAGCACTACCTGTCTGTCCAGCCTGGGTCTTAGCGGCCATAGGTGGCGTATCTCCACTGCACATTCTTTGTGAAGCTGGTGCCTTCTGTGCTTCAGGAGAATCATCTGTGTGTCATGATCCTCAGGTTTTTACATTGCTACAGCTTTTAAATAGTTGAATTTTAAGTAGTTTTTATTTTGGTTTCTTTCATTATTACTGCATTTTAATTCTTGAGTTAGGAATGTCTGGTGTTTTGATATAAGTTCAAAAATGAATTTTACTGTATTATAAATGAAGAGGCCAGCAGAGTTTTATTTTTTTAGACATCATTAACATGAATGTCCCGAATCTGTCAGAGAAGGTAAAAAAGAAATAGTAGTAGTAAGCTGCAGTCCAGAATATCTCTTGATACTGTACAGGAATACAAACCTAAAATGAATAATTTGTATTTCTAAGATGAAACACAACTTGATTATTTTAA